TTTTGAGGTGGAGCCAAAAGTGGCTCGACCGTATTCTTTCAACCAAAACTCAAGAATTTCCTGCATGAATTTTGTATAAAAAGCAACCGTCTGTATTCCGACGGTTGCTATATTCTTCACAAAACGCCTTATAATACTCTTCCCAGGACTTATTTTCCAACAACTTTCATGAGATAAATAAGAAATAACTTTCATTTTTCATTAGATAACTGTTATTTTTGACGAAGTGAAGATTTGCACTTCGTCAAAAAATCCCTGAAATCAAGAATTAATCCCGTCAAATACAAAAAATGAGGGTAGAAATGAGGGTAGATAACTGTTATTTTTGACGAAGTGAAGATTTGCACTTCGTCAAAAAATCCCTGAAATCAAGAATTAATCCCGTCAAATACAAAAAATGAGGGTAGAAATGAGGGTAGAAATGAGGGTAGAAATGAGGTTAGATCTAACCATCTACCCTAAACATTATTTTTGGTCATGGACTTCGTCCTCGCCGCTTTGCGTCTTTATGTTAAAATAAATGGTACCATTAATAATACATGACTGTTCTCGTTCATGTCTGATTTACATCTAATGAAAAAGTTTAGAAGAATTTTCTTATTCTTTCTGGCATGTTTTTATCTTTCCAGTACTCCCGCTCTAATGGTCCCAGATGTGTTGGCTTTGACTCTCTCAAGTTCTTAGATGGTATAACATCTTCAACGCCTCCTTCATATCTTACTTTATAAGTGTCATCGTTTATGTTATAGCCAAGTATTTCAATAACCACTCCTCGCTTTGCTTCGTCAATGGTTTCAGCAAGTTTGCCATTACTACTTTCAACTAATTTGTGACGAGGGTAAAACGCAATAGAGTCGTCGGCAGCTTTTATAAGATATCCATTACCTTGCGTAGAGTCTACGATATAATAGTTTCTACTTAACCTTAAACGTTTCTTTGTCAACGGTTTGTCGTCAAGAACTACACGAACTTTTGTACCAGGAATGAGGGTAAATTGTGTTGAATTTCTGATATTTTGTGTTTGGCTTCGTTTCTTTTGTATATACTTTTCTTCTTGTTGTTGTGTCATTGAATTTGGTGTATGTCCTGTTGTAAAATGTGTTGAGGAATTATATACTTCGAGAAAATGTTTCATTGTTTCTTCGGTAAAGTCTCGCTTTTGATTTAAATCTCTGAGAGTCCTTATGAAGCGGTTTATGATGCCGAGTATGTTATGGTTATGGTCTTCAGTAGTGTAGTGAGTTATGTTATGCTTAATGAGAAATTCTGTGATTTCGTTGCTGAGGTATGCACTGTCTTGGTCTGATGTTAAAGTACTTGGGTTATGTTCTGCTACAAACTTTTGTAAAACTCTTAACACTTCACGAGTTCCTTTATTCATCATTACATACGCAAAAGCTTTGCGAGTGTTAACATTAATGAAGATGAGGAATGGTTTATGTCCTCCTTTTCTGCTTTGAATGAGAGTGTCAAATTGGTATGCGTCAGGAGTGTTGGAGTAAATTGGTAAAAAGTAGTCGTAAGGGTTTATTTTTGTTTGATGTACAACATTTTTGTCAAAGAACCTTTTCACTTCAGCTCTGTTAGTAAATCCCCAACTTTTTGCTGCTTCATTGAACTTCTTAAATGACCTCCATGGATGTTGTTCGAATACTTGTTTCAAGCTCATTTATGTAAAGTTAAAGATTTCATTGAACACGGTACCATGCGAATACAGTCACAAATGGTGGCATATAATCTGCACCCGAGCCTGTTGGATTTGTTGTGAAAGTGTGTGAATGATTTCCTCCTGGTTCAGTTGGTCGAAAAATCTTTTTTGCTGAATTGTTATAAGATGGAGATAAAACGTCATTACCAGCTTCATATTCTGAGTTGTATAATGGGTGGTCTCTTAATGAGTGGCTATGGTCGCCAGAAAAGTTTGTAGTTCCTGTATGAGTGTGCGGTGGAAGGTTTGCTTCAGTAATTTTCTTCGAACCTCCTGTTTGCTTTGAAGAGTTAGCACAGTATAAGAATTTGTCTACAATCTGCTGCCATGTACCAAAACCTAAAACTGTTTCTGGATTTGTTGAGTTCATTGACGTATAAATAGAGCCTATAGGATATAATGTTTGAAGTATTTCAGTCTTTAATGTTTGAAGCTCTGTTTTGTCTGCTTTCTTGTCTAACATTGCGGGTAGTTCATATGCTTCAAAGTTTCTGGCATGATCTTCGATATTCCTGCAACTCTTATCTAAATTGTTAAGAGTATCTTTTACGCTTGTACTCGGATTCTCTAAAGGTGCACTTGAACCCAAATCATAGTTCAATATTATGTCGTCTGCTCTAACAGTAGTGAAGGATTTATGTGTATGATTTTTGTCGGCTTTCTTGTCTAACATTGATGGTAGTTCATATGCTTCAAAGTTTCTGGCATGATCTTCGATATTCCTGCAACTCTTATCTAAATTGTTAAGAGTATCTTTTACGCTTGTACTCGGATTCTCTAAAGGTGCACTTGAACCCAAATCATAGTTCAATATTATGTCGTCTGCTCTAACAGTAGTGAAGGATTTATGTGTATGATTTTTGTCGGCTTTACTATTTAATGTAGCTTGAAGTTCATTTATATCGGAGATATTGTGTTTATGAGATTTCAAAACTTTGTTCGTTGCGTCAAGTTCATCTTTGTCGGCTCTACTTTTAATAGCATCTTCAAAAGTTATTTTTGCCTTAACTCTCAAAGTAAATCTTGGTTCAACTAATACACCGTTAACATTGAAAGTAGAGGCATAAATTTCATCGTTATAACTAAATGCTTCTAGCGCTTTACCTGTGTCATAATGTACAGTACAGCTTATGTCATAACCTTTAGCACGAATGTATTTATATCTTCTTTCATTAACATCTTCCGTCTTCACTTTTTCATCCTGTGTTAAATATCCATGGTAGTCCGTTATAATCTGTTCATCTGAAGTTATATAATGAACATGGTTTTTATCTGCTTTACTATTTAATGTAGCTTGAAGTTCATTTATATCGGAGATATTGTGTTTATGTTCTTTATCTGCTTTTTCGGCTAATTTCTCTTCTATCTCATTTATTTCAAGTTCATGCCTACCACCACCTCCCGAAGAAGTATTTTTCTTCAGCTCTTGAAGAACGTCCACTTCGCCATCTTTGGTGTCAATAATGAGACTTTGAGTTAAAACCTTTCCTGTCTTAATGGATGTTTGTAAAACTTCTTCTTCACCGTGTTGGGGTCATGGTCGTCATCATATCTTGTGAAATCAGAGATGTTGTCATACATTAAGCATATCTGTCTCAAAAGTTCTGCTATTTGAAACTGGAACGAAAGATATACAGAACTTTCATCATCTCCTAAAGTCAAGTCTGCTTTCTTAAGTATTTCTTGAATGTATGCAATGAGAACAGAGTACCTTGGAAAATATTCGAACAATATTTCATTAGCTGTTGGTTTTGGTGGTTCTTCTGGAGTTTCTGCATCTCTTGACTTCAATGCTCTTGCTCTCAAAGACCTAAATGTTAGAGCACCGGGTTTTACAAAGGACTTTATAAAATGCTTTAATAGTTCCTGGTAAGTTATTGTTAGCATTAAGTAAGTTCCTTATGCTTCCATCATGTACGTCCATAGCACTATGTAAAAAATCTATACTTTTCTTGTAGTCAGCAATAGACTGACTGTGATTTTTTAAAGATTTGTCAATACCTTTAAGCCAATCTTCATGCATGTCTGATACTGAGCCAAGAATATCATTTGCTTCCTTTAGTGTATTTTGTGCTTCTCGTAAAGTATCCAATCCCGTACGTGCATTGTTTGCTATACGTCTTACAGTATCTATTTGACTCCTTGTTTCTTGCATCCAACCAGATAAAGTTTTAATAGTATCCGAACCATTTGAAATGAAGTTCAAAGCATTTTTAATGTCATCTAAAGCTTCTTCACCAAGTACTGCCCATATCTTTCCGATTTGGTATTGAAGAACTCCATATGAAGCAGCTGTTAAACCAGTATTTATAAGGTCCCATATCCATGATTTAGCAGTTTTTCCATCCTTTCCATCCTTTCCATCCAAACCGTTTTCGCCTTGAGGTCCTTGTATTCCTTGTGGTCCTTGTGGTCCTTGTGGTCCGGTGTCACCCTTCTCTCCTTTCAGTTCATCTTTATGTTCGTTATAATATTCTAATGTCATAAGGTGTACATCATTACTGCTACCAGCAACGCCGAGAATTTGTTTCTCATTCATGACTAAATTCTTTAGGCATTTAATGTTGTCGTCAAATCGAAAGCTCTTTAACAATTCAATGAGAACATTTAATACTTTCACTATTGAGGCATCTACTGTAGAATTTATATATTGCACCGTTCCATCATTTATGATGGGAACCTTGCTTGTTGTAATGAATGGGTCATAAGTGTTAAAAGTATCGAAATCAATGACTTTTTTAGTTTTTCCATCGTCAATGACTAAATCATTGCCTTCAATGGTTAAAGTTGAGTTTTCGTTTACTAGTTCATGTGCTCTTCTTGCTTCATTTGTTTCATACGCATATGCAGCAATAGTCATATTTTAATGAGAATAAAATGTTGTTCTATTTGCAAAGTACAGACCCAAACGAATACGGGACAGTAAAGCTACAAACAAACTTAGGTCTTCAGAATGAAGCGCTTGCTTTCAGAGTTGTTGACTTCAATACTATCGCAACTTTTGTCATAACAGATGAAACAGATTTCATGGAGTTTGAAATAGATGACAAAAGAAGTGTTATAACATTTCCTAACAGAGCGAGTATAGAATAGATAAAATTGCTGGAGTCATAGATACTCTCATAAATGAAGAAACTATTGACAACATAGATGTCGAACTCTCTTCTGAGGGAACATTGAAGTTCAGTAGCAAGAAAGAGTTAAGATACCAAGAATGAGTCATAGAGTACAACTTCTTCTGGGAGCATACCATATGACATTTCCTTTGAAAAGTGTTGACAAAACGATTGAGATGAAATCTGTTCCATACGTATGTTATGGTAATTGTTTGTACGTTGAGTCAAAAATAGCTAATGTCACAGGTATTTCAGGAGTTAATAGTAAAGGTTCAGTAGAATATAAATCCTTCTGTTATGCAGTCAATTCAATGTTCATTCCAAACGTTCCTGTCATAGCAACTCATTTAGGTAAATGGGTTCGCATTAGTCCTCATAATTTGAAAGACATGCAATTCAGACTTGTTGACTTTCAAGGAGAGCCTGTAGAACTGAAGGCACCAGTGCGAATGACTGTTGAAGTTGACTTTTTAGAAAATATTAAATGCAACAGCTTACAAGAGAACTCAGAGCTAAAAATATAAAGTATGAATGTTATGTATTAGGTCATGAACTTTGGTTGTTGCTGTTTGATGAAACAAATGAGTTAGTTATGCCAGTCAAGAGAACAGAAAAATATTGTGTTAGTGAAAACTGCACCAAGTCAATAAGATTAGGTTTGCATTATGAAGATGAGTTCGATACTGTTGAAGAAGTTTTGGACAGATATTACAAATTGCTAACTTGAATTTTTTGACTGACGGCGCAAAGCGCCAAGATGGGCTCAAAGAGCCCTCCTGACTGCTTTAATTTACTAAAACATATTTCAAGCAAAGCTTATAGTAAGTAGATAGTTTTGTATACTCGTTCGAATATTTATACTTAAACTCAACTCCTGTAGTTCCTGGTGTTTCAATGATGCGGATGTTACCTATTTTCATGAATAGTGGAGTTTGACCACAGCATTCGATTTCAGGGTCGAGATAGTCAATGACACATTGTTTCCCTGTTATTCGTGAGATAACATTTTCAAGGTCCTCCTTTGTTAGAATTATTTGGTTCTTGCTTATAAGATTTGTCAAAAGCTTCTTATCGTCTTTGAGTAAAATTGTTTGGTATAACTGAAGAAGGTAATGGTCTACGTTATCTGAAGGATTTGTTTGAACATTTGTGTAAGGGTTGTCGTTGGCTTCTCTTGAAAGAATTTGGTCCAGTGGTGGATACTCTAACTTAACATCTGATGTAGCGTTAGCGTTTGAAGCTGAGTTTAAATTCACCGACTTAAGTTCTGGTTCTTTTTCTTTCAAACACTCTGAACTATAGTTCTTTATGACAATATTGTTTGTCGTTCGTGAGTCAACATTTGATGTTGGTTCAATTGGAACATTAACGGCACCAGCTAAGATGGATTTGCTTCTCATTTCATATAGAATAAAAACCTTTTATATGTATGAAATGAACAATATACTCGACAAGGGTTTGAATGTAAAGCTAACGAATGAAAATATTGTTGAATTCACTGAGACAGGAGCTGTGTATAAAGATGTAGAACTACTGAACAAAAGAGCTAAGGGAAGAAGCAGGAACATGAACAAAGGGTGGAAGCCTATAAAAATTTATGTCAATGATGGCTCAGGAGGTTCAAACATAAAGTATGCAGAAAGTTATAGAGTTTATGCTCTCAAAGGTGAAAAGCCTTCATTTAAGAACAGCTATTCTAACATATCCTCAAAAGCTAACGGATGGGGAAGTGGATGATATGAATGACAGCAAAAATATTAACAGAAATGGCGACAGAGATGCATGGAATTTGTTTACCATCAGTCAATTGAAGGTTAAACTTTAAAACAATGTTGGTCGTTCCCATGGAATATTTTTGACTTTAATGGTATTAGTCATGATATGAATCTCAAGGTATGAACGAGGAGAGATGAGAGACTTATATGCTTCCCAAATTTCTTCAAAAGGTAATGTTATACCTGACTGTTTCCAAATGAGTTCAATATCATAGCGTGAGAAACCTTGAAAGATAACGAAGTCAGTTATGAGACGTTTTATGTTTAAAGCAAGGAAACGCCATGTTTGCATAAGTATTGCTACAGTTAAATGGTAATGTCTGACTTTAGTTATGATGTTAGCTAATGGTGAGTCAGGCTTTGACACTAAACCTTTTCCGGCGAAGTCGTCACAAACGAGCAGAGTGTTTGAAGGATACTTTTTGAAGGGGTATTTTGAAAGTTTTGATAGAATGTAGTTTGTCAGTCGTTTCATATCGTAAACTCCTGAGTATTGACGTAAGTGGTGTTTGTCAATAATTCTTTCCATCTCTTCTGAAGTCTTTTGCATTCCTGACTGTATGAACTCTACAATAGCATAATATTTTCTCTTACGTCGAATGTAACGTTGAAGAAATTCAATGAGTTCGCTATCTGGAACTTTAACGACAGAGGCTTGAACTTTTGACATAAATGTTTTCGCTGTTGAATCCATAGAGTCTGAAGTTGCTGATATAATGATTTGGTCATAGTAAGAGTCGTTTCCTAAACGTTCTGTTATGAGTATATGACGAATGAGGTTAAATGTCTTACCTGAACCCATCTTTCCACAATAGAAATACACACCATTTGAACAGAACTCATAATCTTTGCTGAAAGGAAGAATAAGAGAAGAGTTAAGTTTGTCTGTAGTTTCATTCATGTCTTCATCTACGTCATGTATTAAATGCTTCATTTTATCTCCATTAAAAATGCAAGTCAGAAATATTCAGAACATAGCACCGAGTCTAACTGACAAGAGTATAAAGATATACTATGAACACGTTATGATGAAACCAACCAAAATTCAAGAAAGTCAGTATACTTATGAATATCCAAGACACTGGGTAGAGTATGTAGGAGGTGAGAAAGCTATTGAAATAAGACAAGTTAGAAGTATTCCAGCAGGAAGAACAATATTATTGAAGAACTTTAATGTTTTGAGATATAATGATGAAACAAAGAAGCAAGATAGTTTCCCTGTTGCTGTGTATGTGAACTTAGATACAGGAGATGACATGAAAGTTTTTAACACAAAGCTTCAAACGGTAGTGAGAGAACAACTGACTGCGGAAGGACATCCATTACCTTCAGAAGTTACCATAGCATATAATTTTGAAACAAACTCAATAGATTTTAAAGTCATCTCTGCAAAGAAGTCAGGTTTTACATTTAATGAAGCAGATGTATATTCGAATGAAAACTTCAAAGCTATTGCATGGTTAGATAATGACGATTGCTTTAAGAAAATATTTAAATTCAGTGACTCAAAGATGTCAATAGATGACCTTCGTGGAATGTTACCATCGACGTTTACAGTTGAAGGTTCAGCAGGATTGCTTACAAGATTGTCAATTGGTGGTATTTGGTCTCGTGAAACATTGTTATAAAATCCAGTATAAGTGAATTTGCTGAAGAATCTATATTATGTCTTTCAAACTATGTATTCGCCGCCGAAGCATTATAGTATAACAAACTTTGTCAGTAAGTTTAACATAAGACTTGTCGAACCTTCTTCAATGAAAGATGTTGTGCTACCTAAAGATGGAAAGGATGGACTTTATTGAGATGATTTTAATAGCATATTAAATGAGCTTGTTCTTAAAGGTCTTCATGATGAAATAACTGTTGTAGAAGATGTTAGCAATTGTTCAGACATTTTGAAGCGTATAGATGAGATAAGAAAGAAGTTAGATAGACCGCAAAGCGGTGAGGGCGAAGCACGTGAGAATGTTTATGTTTCATTGACTTTCTCCAGTAACGAGAACTTTTATGAGATAATATTGAAGAGAGATGATTTTAATATGGGGTAAATGGTAGCTTGGGCAGCTTTAGGCGCAATGGGAACAAAAGCATTAGCATTTGGAGCAAAAGCACTTGGAGCTTATGACGCAGTAAATAAAATGAGTGGAGGAAGGGTTTCAAAGACATTAGATGCAAATAAAGGAAAGATTGGAGGCTGGGTTGCAAAGAAGTTAAGATTAAATAAAATAGGGCTCATAAATAAAGCATCCAATTTGGTTGCGACTGAGTCAGAAAATGCTTTAGGAAAGGACGATGAGTTTGCAAAACACGCAAAAGACTTTAATGACCAGATGAAAGGTGAAACAATGCATTTAAATAGAGTCGATGGAACTAAAGAAAATGTTTCTTCTCCACCAGTAGTTCTTCCGTATGGTCCCTATGGAATGTATGGAAACCCTTACGAAAGACCATTTGACCCAATGACTGGTGGAAGTAACTGGTATCATTACGGACGAAGAAGAAAGACAGTCAAGTTGGAGACAGACGTGAAGAAAGCAACTAAAAAGAAACCAAGGAAGAGAGTTATAAAGCAATGAATTCAACAGGGTTAGAAATGAGGTTAGAAATGAGGTTAGATCTAACCTTCTACCCTAAATTTATTTTTGTGCTATGTTTTCATACGTGTGGGAGTGGTGATATCATTTATTTTTAAGTTTATTTTTACTGAAAATTTTTATTTGGATGTAAATGACGAAAACTATTGAGATAACAAACTACAACGGTCATGAGTTCAAGAATTTGTTCTTCGTTCCTCGTGAAAATACATTCTATCAGATACGAGGGAGAAAGGGTAAAGTTAGTTTGAGCGTTTACGACAACAAACATAATGGGAGATATATAAAAGCAATAGATACAAACGGTAAGCGTGTTTCATTAGCTTTGTCAAAACTTACATACATTTATTTTGACAGTGATTTTGACTCTGACGATTGGAGTGACAGCAGCGATACTGAAGAATATGAACTATTGTGTGAAGCACAGCAATGGGAAGCGCTGCAATACTTTTGTAAATGAGAACATTAGTGGGAACGTTAGTGAGAACGTTTATTTTTTCATTAGTGAAGTGAAGTGGTTGGCGGCTTTGTAAATATTTAAGGTTAAGTTAGTGTTGTCGTTTGTGTTGTAAAATATACGTTAACAGTTTTGTAAAGTGTCAAATTCACATAACAGGGGTACGGTGGAACGCAGTGCCTCCGTACCCATGTTATGTATACTAACTATCTTCCCATTTTGGTAGGGAGAATGAGAGTCTGTATGCCGCCATTGGACGCCCCAAAGATCAAGTAGATCTTGAAAGGCGCCCCTATTTTCTGAACTGTTGTCGGTCCAGAAACAATAAGGGGCGCCAAATTCAATGAAGGCGGAAGCCGCAACGTTCGCTGTCGTCGCTGCCAGCATATCTGGTATTTGTATACACGCTAGGACTTTGCGGCTAAAATCGTCGATTATGCCATAAATATACTGGCCACGAACACCCCTAAAATAATGAACATCTGCGTGCCAGATAAGATTGGGTGAAAGCGCCCAATATCTTACTGCTGTTTCTGGCCCGGCATGCTCTAATCGCGTCTTGGTGAAATGATTTTCTTTGAAGTATCTGCGTACTTCTCTATAAGATACATCAATTTGTTGTAATTTCAAACGTTTCCATTGTTTTGTTTGACCACAGGGAAAGGCCCAGTGGTCATGTATCACAGCAAGAGCTT